CTGGTGATTATGAAGCCATGCGGTTCCGATATATGGTTTATTGGACTACCTTCGCACTCATCGCCACGTCACTTATCACTTGTTACTATACCGAAGAGGAAGATCCGTTAATGTCAACGTACGACCCGGGTCTTGAGCGCCCAGTCTATGGGGTTTTCCGAAACCTTCTCGATGGCTTCTCGCAAGCTTCCAATAGGGTACGACACGTCTATCTCATCCAATTCTTTTCTTGGCTCGGATGGTTTGGGTTTCTATTCTACAGTACAAGCTTCATCGGAAAGCTTTACGTCGACGAGCAAGCAAGAGATGATGTCACGATAAGCTCATCAATCAAGGACCACGGGATGAGGTTAGGAGCTAGGGCGAATCTGCTCTTCGCCATTGTAGCTCTAGCAACGAACATCGCGCTGCCGAGACTCTCAAAGATGTTGAGATCGATGTGTGCAAGGGCGAGAATCCACGATAAAGGTGTCCGGAGCTCTTCTATGCTAACTATCATCTGGAGTTTTAGTCAGGCGCTTTATGCGACGAGCGTTCTATCCACGACATTGGTATCATCAAGTGCGACAGCAACGTTCATGATCGCTATCGCCGGTATCTCATGGGGTGTGACTCAGTGGGTACCATTCGCCATAATTGGGGAGGAGACAGCAAAGTATTCTATCGACGAAGAGTCTGCTAAAAGAGAGGATGAAAACGTATGGAGCGTGGTACAAGGCGGCACAATCATTGGTTTGCACAACACTGCCATATCCTTACCGCAGATCATCGCGGCGCTTATCAGTAGTGCAATCTTTTGGGTTGCGCAAAACCTAAATCGAAAGCATGCTATAGTATGGGTAATAGGTTGGACTGGGGTTCCTGGAGCAGTAGCTGCTTGGCTTGCTTTCATAATGTAGGCAAGTCAGCAAGCCACAACCGAGTTCAACACAGATGATTCGTCACGAGCACATCCTCCGTCGCAACAGTTTGATATCGATTCTCGTTACGACTTAAATTCCATATCTGCTCCAGCTCTGATTAACATGTCAACGACTTCAACATAGTCATGCTCTATCGCTACATGTAACGGCGTTTCTCCTGCCACATTGATGGCATTGACATTCACGCAATGCGACAACCCGAATGATATCAAGGACGCATGGCCGGACTGCGCAGCGAGGTGTAGGATGTTGTTCCCGTAATCATCTATGATGTAGACGTCTGCTCCATTCTCAACGAGAAGCTCTGCAATACTATCACGGCCTTTTATCACAGCTTTCTGCAAAGCATTGAGGCTTGGAGGTAAGGTAGAACTCGATGAGGAAGTAGATGCCGATGACGGGACCGTGGATCGACCCTATCAAGGCCGTGTCAGCATTCCAATATGAGTAGATATGGAGTAAAAGAGGCTGCAGCAGACATACAAACAAAATAAGATCGTTCTCTAGATGCGTAAGAGGAGTTGTCAAATCAAACACGTTGGTTATTTCGTTCTTTTGTTGCGAGGCGATGTTGCTGTTTTCTTGATTGGATATTGACGAAATGTTCCCTGCTTCTCCTGTACTGCCGAACAGGAAAGCTTGGACAGAAGAGTCGTCCGGTGATACCGCTGCTGGGAGTCCATTGCCCGTCTCCAGATTAGGCAATAGTGTATCTGAGGCCGTGGGGTTGATAGAATCTCGACGTGTATGCTTTGATTTTGTTGATTCTTTCGGTGGCGTTCGACAAGACTGCTGCTTTTCTTTGGGTGTTGTAGGCGGGCTGTCTGATGTGCTGCGATTGAACACCTCCAGTTGCTGTAGTCGACGCTTGATGTTACGGCCTATGAAATTAGTCATGAATGGGGTCTAATTGGGGTGGATACCCTACGATAGTTGCGCTGCGCGATTCGATTTTGTACTCTTCTTCGCTCATTAGCATCGGTCAAAGATTTCCAGTCCTCGTCTTCCTCTTGTCGTGACATGATTCCTTGGATTTCTTTTGGTGACATTGAGTTTTCGTAAGGTTTGCGGCTCATGCTACTGAGACAATAGCTAGTTAAACCGAGGAGCTTCACATCTCGATGTCAGCTTTGTGATTCGGATTCAGCAGGTACGTCCGCCGTGGACACGGCCGGATGCTCTTTGGGCGATCCGATCCGCATCATTGTTCGATCGGCATCATCTTTCTGATGGTAGAGACACAATGACCTTACCAAACATGTGATTGAGAGTTCGTGCTAACCTTCATGGAGAGTCTTTCGGTTTCGCGTAACTTAAGGTGGGGACTTCCTAGGTATACGTAGCAGTCGTAGTGCGGCGTAACTACTCGGACCGACGCATGGCGAACTCGTACCCGGAACTTTAACAACGCAATCAACACACCTGGTCCATGTCAGATATCCTGACGTGCACTACCAGGTCACATCGCGTATACACCCACGTTGATAGTAAAACGCATTAGTATATTAGCTTGTGAATCTAGGAAGGTCGCTGAGTAAGATGCGTCAGCCTCGGAGTTTCCCCGCAAAATCACTATCAAGGTTACATCTGACAGGCGATAGAGACGGAACCTTCCATCATAAGTATCAATTATCTGACAGAGGGAACCATAGTTGGAATTATAGTCCAAATCATCGCTACCACTGGAGAAATCGGATACATATCACGATGCCGGCGTTTTCACTTTCACCAAATTCACCGAAACCTGACTTTGACAACTATCACCAAAAGCCACTTCCAGAAGACTTGGAAGAGCAAGACACGTTACTCCAAAAGAATGTTCCAGGATCGCTTTGGTCAAAGCCCCGTCGAGGCATTGCGTACGCGAACCTAGTGGCTGTGGCCCTCTTCCTTTTCACAATTGTTGTCGGATCGCTCGCATGGCTAGGCGTATCTGCGACACAGCAAACCGACGAAGCACCGAAACCATCAAAGGCATACACCGATTGCGGTAGCAACTACTCAACAGCAATCGCAGCCGGATGTATATACGATATTGTTGCTCCCCAATGGACGCCACCAGAGTGCTACAATGCAGCCCTATCTGAAGAATATGCTGCAAAGATCCCAAAACCGATGTTTTTCCGTTGGGAAAATCTCACAGAGCCGATACCAGAAGACCCTGTGGAGATCTCAAAGCATGATACAGTCTGGACATTCGACAAATACCATACGATACATTGTGTATACATCCTTGAGCTTGCAGCATTAGCTGCGTCGATGGCTTCTTCTGGCAACCAGGATGTTTTCTTGAATCACGTTGCAGCGAATTCCAAACATACGAGGCATTGTACCGAACTGTTATCAGGGAACATCAGCTTTCCGGGCGAGACGGAGATTCATCGTCCTGGATCCGCGCTTCGCTGCAAGGGATTGAAGTCTTAGAACAATGAGTCTATACTTAATACAAGTCTCCATTATGCAAGGCCGCGATCTTAGTGTACAATATTGTGAAACACTAATGTACCGTGAATGCACTGGAAATGAGTTCTGTAGAAGCTTCCGGATACTTTGCTGTGCCGAGACCGTCATTGAACGTTAGACTTAGGCTCTCATGATCTTGCTGAAGCATACATGGATTAGTCGCTGCGATGTTTTCCCGGTGGTAGATGCCCGTGAGAAGTACGCATGCGTGAATGCGTACAATTGCCATAGAAAATGAGGCCTCCGTCAGATCCAAAGAAACATGCATTGTTCTCGCAGCATGCGTACCTACGTAGGTAAGTAATGTGCCATCTCAACCGGACATCAAGAGTGCCTATACGCAGTGCAGAACACCCATGCATGCAGATGACCATTTTCGCCCCGTCGTCCCCGCATGTAATTAATCATCGCGCTCGATTTCGGGGCTGTCAACACCGAGATCTTGAAGAACTTGTTCTCTCTACGTGACAGATATCCCGACGATTACCCGTGTTAACTACGTAGATACGCCAGTCACGTTTTCTCAATACGCGATGACAAAGCTTTGGATCGAGAACTATAGCAAGTACGCCTACCCAAGTAGGAACGTGCCGGTCGGACCGATGCTGGAAACCGCCGACGCACATCCGCATGCAAGTGTTTGCCAAGATCGCACCGGTGAACATAAGCCCGCTGGGCAGTCTTGACATGCATCTGCAAGACATCACTATGCCGAAAATGCACAGAACCAGATGAACATCACGTCGTCAATCGGTGCTATGGTCACTGACGCGCCTCGGGGCCACGTAGCTCTCCACAAACCCCGCCCCCAGATTTCGCATTCTCATCCTTCGAATCGACAATTCGAGATGCTCTCACCAATCCACCGCTGGAAATGAGAAGGAGAGCGACACATACATCCCTAGGAAGAAACATGCAAGAGGCTAATGGAGATTTCCGTAATGCAAGCAAAGCGGTTTCGAACAGGGACTGTTCCATGCTCACCACTATGCAGTAAGACGCTGAATTCTTGCAGCTACGGATCTGCGCTTCGGGCCGAGGCGCTAAGCACCTGCCCGTTGCTATGATCCATGCTGCACTGGCCGTACGATGTAAGGCCACAAACTTAATCTAGCCGAATCTCACTCCACACCGCCCACGTCTGTATGAGTCTCTACTCAGCAACTGCTTACTACATGTTAGTCATCGGGGTATTTCCGCCGGCTCAACGTTCCGCTCCCGTAGTAGACGATGCATGTTGCGACGTGATCATGTGAGCAGCTTCCGGATTTGCTCAGAATGGTAGCATCCGAGACTGGCGTTGAACTTCATCATTGAACGGTCCAAGAAAACGTTGTCTGTCTCAACATACTAGGCGACTTTCCTAGCGACACGCAGTCTAGTTCGCCAGCACAGTTCATCCTCTCCAACCTATACGATCGGGCCAAAATCAAAGGCCAGTTATCGGAATTCGATCGAATCAAGAAGGCAATCGAGATGATGGGAGCCTTCTTGACGAAGTCTTCACGGCACGACAGTGGAAAAGAATATGTTCCCATACCCAACCCTGAGTCTGGCACCCCAGAGAACCATCACAGCAGAGAAAGACGCGGGCGTCTACCGAAAGGTGTCGTTATGGTGTCTCTTGCCGCTGTTCTGGTGCTGCTGATTCCAGTCACCTACTTCCTCTTCGCCGCAAGTACACGGAGTGGCGCATTCAATCACACCAGCCTACCCATCCAGCATGACGACAAAGGCACATTCATAGCCTGCCCAGAAGACCCTTCGTCGGCGCGGAAATCAGGCTGTTCTTTCGACCTTCTTGCCAACGGTTGGATTCCAGACCCTTGCTTTGACGCAACTATGCACCACGACTTCGTGGATGGCAAGGACTACGGTTTCTTCGAGGATCGAAATGGCGAGCACCGGGTACATCAAAACACAGTCATGGAAGGAGATAACAGCAGGTACCCAGATGGGCTCTGGGTGACCTTTGAAGAACACCACACACATTGTCGTTACTTGGTCAACGGATCTATCAGAGCCGTCTCGCGACCTCATGGAGCTTTTCTTGACGTGTATCTGGATAGGGATCATATGATGCATTGCTATGGCGTTCTCGGAGAACATCGAAACTCTGACCATATTGAGACGTATGTCAAGGCTTTTTTCGAATCGCGCAAATGCTACGTTCGTGATTGAGCTTCATCAGACTCTCGAACTGTTTGCTGTTAGTGGGGTAATGATCTCTAGCCTAGAAACAATCGCAAGCTACTATGTGAGAATCTCACTCTCATTGGTTCCTGGTTCCTGATATCCGCAGTTCAACGACTGGCCAAGTTTTGTCGCTATGCCATCTCAATACCCTAATATGACGCTTCGGGAGTGGTGATGAGATGATCGCTGGTGTGCTGTACAGGCGGGCGGAAGAGGTGGGGCTGTCCAAGCGGGCGCCGTGGCAACATCAGCGCCAGAGGGCAGGAACGCCATCCTCTCTAGGTATCTATGCATCACGACTTCACCAGTACCACTAACTCCACAGCGGTCTTACACAACCTCTAGCTTCTTGCATGTTTCGTATCAGCGCGACGTTGCATTCGCACAGCCTCGTAAATACGCGTCCACAGTGGTCCGTGATGGTGACATGCCAACTCGCTGCATTAACGAAGAAGAAAACAACACAAGATACCAAAAATGGTTGTCGTTACTTATTGGCTATAAATCACAGCCTCTCGACGAATAGCAAACGTCGCTAGGGTCAGCGTTTCATCTATGAAGCTCGTTTAGCTTTAACTCGGACCAATCGTGTTCAGAGTACGACGAGAGGATTGTAGCAGGCTGTGTTGCAAGCTGTCTATATAAGCACTGTGACTTTGCCGCAAAGCTTGCAGCTCTTTTGCTGTGTCTCACGTTTAGCTATTCCATGTAACCCTCCACTCTGTCTTTCACGAAATAATGGTATTCATTTCTCATGCGCTTGATCTTCACCGGAGAGAGGGGAGACCCTTGGAGGTTGCTAACATCTTCCAGAATATGGGATGGCGTTTAATGCTTGTCATCCGTACATATGACCAGTTGCAGTTCCCTTTTTTCAAGTTTGTTTGTTATATATTGTGGCTCGGAATTGGAGCCTGTGTGATTATCGGCTCCCATCTCGGGCTTGGTCACCGAGACTTTGCTGCCACATTCGATGTTCGAAACTACGTATTGGTATGTGAACCAAAACTTCGTTGCGTAGATTGGAGGATGTCACTAAATTTCCAAGTCAATAGTCTTGGCCAACGTAAAACCCCAAACAAGGTTTACATGGCAGGTCTTCTGGCGTATATACTATTTTTGTGCAAGAGACCAAAGGGACTTCATTATGGATTATACCATGGCCTGGAGTATGGAGCCAGGATATGATTTGGAGGTCATCATTTTGTTGGACAATGGCTGTCGTTTCTCGGTTCCTTGTTCGGGCAGAGCGGACGATAAAGATCTTTTGACACAACTGCGTATGTTTTACGAACTGCAACGCACAAAACGTGGACTCTTCGAATTGGTCAGCGTCAAGTCGGTTCAAAGGATTGATTTGGTAAAGGTAGGATTCCATTACCATCCTTATGTCTCTTCTTTGACAGTCTAACACTCCTGCCTACCACTAGCTTCACAACGGCAATACAGCAGGCAAGCGACTCAAAGACCCACTGGATCTAGGTCGATACGGACCCTATGGTCGCCAGTCTCACTACTTTGAGAATCCATCCGAACTGGATGGCGATACCATAAAAAGCAGACTCGCTAGGGAGGAAGTGTTAGCACCGCCTGGCCGACAGCGGCACGCACTCAACATCGTAAGCAGCTGGGATCCGCAGATGACTAGTATAGTCATCCTCTTTCCCATTGTGCTAAGTCTTATTATATCGATTGTCTGGTCTGTTGTGGCCTCAACGACGTTCAAAACAGATGTCCAAACTAGCACGCAGACTGGCTTTACCATCGGTAGCTACGTCGTTACCGCGGGTATATCCCTGAAACAATCTTTCAGCCATTACTCGGATAACTAATCGTGACAGGTGCCCTGTTAGTCGCCTTGGTTGCGTTCCTTGACAGCAAGGTCGACGCGCCATAACGGATTTTCGTGGCGGAGCATTCGGCTGCGTTCAGGAAGCTCTCAAAACCAGTCGCTTGCTAGTGCTCCGCTCCTCTCGCCGCCAGCATGATGTACTGCTAATTTTGACTTTGCAGCGACAGTAGCTATTTCGGATGAATCAACGACAAGAGATGTCGTGTCAAGAAGCGCAAGCGAACTGGAAGAGGGTGCAACGTTGCGGAATAACAAACGCTAGTCTATCCGATCAACGGTTCAGAGATGTGTGTATGGTTTGTGGCGGTGGGTAAAAAGGAAGAAGAGGTAGACGTTGGTAGGGGAGACCTGTGTTGTACTTGGACTACTGGTACTTAGCGTTTCAGATAGACGACCAGATGCATTACCTCAACCAAAGCTTACTCCAACCTCATGTGTTTGGCGCAACGCAATATAAGCTACGGTTGTTTCTTGAGCTTTAGCAGCGGGAAAGTTGAAGTAGCCGGCTGGACCCTGTTGTGTTGATTACGTTCCCATGATCAAGGACGGCTGAGATTTGTTCCAACACACTGTCGGCCTATTGGCGATCACTCGAGTCTTCAACGAAGTAAAAGTCTTGAACCGCAAACGACGCTTGGCTGTTTCCAAAAGCGTTGAGTGTGGTTGTTGTCGCGATTATGCTTGTAGTCGCCAAACCCAGTTTGGAATATAGACCGCATGAAAACAACAACATGATGATTTTCAGGATAGTCGTTCGTTACAGACGACCGACGTTCGAAAGCGGGCCGAAGCCAAAGGACGCGACTCGATTGCATCATGCAAGTGTATGCGTAGTCGGCACGTGAAAAGGGTAAGCGACGCGTTAATCGGGTAAAATTCAATGTCAATGGCAATGTCAGCAAATGTCGCGGCAGGGAAATGGCATTGTGGTTGGGTGCAGGTGTTCGCATTGTCTTTGCAGTGATTTGCACGGGATGAAACCTGGACACGATCGACACCTGGGCATGACGCTAAATTTAGTCTCCCGGCTGCGCCACTGCCCTAAGGCAAGAACATTAGGTTATTCAGCCGATGCGCTCAACAAAAGACGGGCGGCAGCCTGCCTGATGGAGATGATTTGCAGTGATGATGGGAGAGGTTTGTCGTGATGCTTGACATAGCATGTAGTCCATCCTTATATCACAATCAAAATAAGAGCAATCCCGCCAATAGCGCTAGGGGCGCGGCGGATGTGGCACTTCCGCATTCTGCAGTTGTTAAAAGTGTATTTGTGAGCCAATCACATGCGCGTCTGCTCCGTCGGCATCACGATTAAGCGTGAGAGGTCGCCCTACTCCTTTACACAGAAAAGTGGTAGTGGCATGACGATGACGTTTCGAGAATGCCTGCGATAGCAGACGTATTAATGCAATGGATCTTGCCCTGCTCGCCGGCGCGCAGTATCGTCACCGTCGCGCGTCTACGAAAACAGACCTTCCCGCACCTTCTCTGTGGCCAACCGTCGAGTCGAAACGGAAGGAGCGTGCTGTGCACCGGTATACGAAGCTAGCGCCTTGTCGCGCTTTCTGTGGCCTGGCTTTCCTCTTCCGCTGCACCCCACCGTAAACATTCGCCTCAGGAGTTTGCCTACCAGCGCTGCGGGTCACTCCAGCTTTCCAACCTCACCCGCCTTCGATTCCTACACTCGCTATACGACTCTTTTTAATCCCCCTCTTGTCCATGCACTGCCGCTGCTGATCACCCGGGCCCCGTCGCCCCTGCCAACTCAGCGTCGTAGCTTCCTCTGACGCCTGTTTCACTCGCTGCAGGCTTACCCTCGCTCGCTGTAGTACTCCTCCTCAGCTGCGCCCCAACGGATCCCATACCAGAGCAATTCGACCTACACCCGCCCACCACACTTTCGAGCCGCACACGACACCCTCACGCCGACCCACGATACCTCGCCGACCCACGACGACCGCGTTGAGAGGCAGACTGGAGGGTGAACATGAAGAGGGGGACGTCATAATGGCCGTTACCACCTCACGCGATGACGCGCTACGGCTACCTGACAATGCTCAGCTCGAGATGCCCTGCCTTCAACCCACACAGACGCCCCCACGATCGAGACGGAAACATTCCACGTTGCCGACCCTAAGCGCATTCTTTCCCCTTGTCCTCGTCCTGGCCATTGCCTCCTTCCTCCCGCTCGCGAGCGCCGTATTTGTAAATTTCGAAGATTGCCTGACACGAGTCTACCTGGCCGATGGCAAACAGACACCCTACCTCCGCTTCACGCCCGAGTACGTCTGGGCTGACTTCAGTTCCGAACACTTGCTGAACGTCACCGTCTACGGAAATGTCTCCGGCCAAGCCCAGGTTGGCCCCTACCCACCGCTGGACGACGACAACTGGAAGGACCCAAACATGACCTTTGGCAAGATTGTGAGACTCGCGCCGAACCACAAGCACTTCACTACTTTGTTCTGGAGCAACAGGGTCCTGTCATACTCGGCATACACGGCTCCCCCCACCTCGTTCTGTGACTCCGTCCTCAACACAAGCTGCCCGGTCGCCCCTTCCTTTAGTGGTAACTTGAGCGAGTTCTGGACCATGCCCGCCGTCAGTGTTGCACACAAGTTTGACAGCTCGTATGCCTTCTCAACATGGGCCTCGACACTGCGCATCGTCTCTGGTGACGACAATGCCCAGGCTCTTGGCTGCATATCTGCCAACATCACCCCAGATCTCGGCAAAACACTTACGGATGCGTTATGCTACTTCCCGGCTGCGATACTTACACTCGTGGCTATTGCAACCGTCTTTGCCGCTACGTGCAGCCCCTGGGGAACCTCGAACATCTTCCGCTGGACCACCAACTACGGTCGAGACGAGGACTTGTTGCGCTTGGTCACCCCCGGATTTGGAGATTGTCTGCAGTACATCCAGTTCGTCGTATTGGCAGGTAGTCTCAGTCTAAACTACCCCGGCTACTTCCAACCCGCCATCAGCCAGGCCAGCTGGTCAATTCTTTTGTGGAACCAAAGCTTCGTTAGTGGAGGTAATGGATCCCAGAGTCTTGTTGACGGCATCTACTTCGCCAACGGAACGTACGGTCTGACTCGGCTTGGCCAGTATGTCGGTATGACCAAGG